GAGCCTGCAATGATGTTTCCCTCCGAAAGGGAGGAGGTACCGGTTGCTGGGAGGCTGCTCGGCCTAGGAAGTCACCGCCCAAGAGGCCAGTAGGCCACTATATCTTCCGGAGGAGCAAGTAGCTCCCCATTTGCGGTATGCAAGGATTGGCGACATGCTGCTGAGCGAAGCGCTGGACTGGTACAGCGCTGCCTGGAGGTGAAGGGCAGCTGGGCGCTCCGCCTGGCTATGGCGAGCAGCCCAGCCTGAGGAGGAGGAAGAAGGGGGCGAAGGAGGAGAGTGGCGAGGCACCTACCTGGCTATGGTGGACACCATCTTCATCACCTTGTTGGGCACTGCATCTGGAAGGCCCCAGTTGGTGTAGTGCCGCACCAAGGAAGCTCGAGGCAGAGTCTGGCATGGCGGATCAGTCAGCAGCGGCATAGCTGCTTTGGGTTGTCCTTTGGACAGGAGTGCAGCGCCATAGCTGCTTTGGGTTGTCCTTTGGACAGGAGGGCAGGGCCCTCAGTAGTCCGCCATAGCCTAGGCATGTGAGAGGAGGAAGGAGGGAATCCATAGCTATGGTGGACTTGTTGTTGCTGTAGTTGTTGAGTCAGCAGTAAGAGGGAACTTCAGATATTGATTCTGGTTCATCCACTCATTGTTATTATTATTATTGGGAGAAGAATGAGATTGGCGAAGTGAAGGAGGAGGAGGAAGGTGGAGAGAGAAGGGGGAATTGTCATTGGTCTTGCTGGTGCACATCTTCTTCTTCTTCTTCTTCTTCTTCTTCTTCTTTCTCTCTCCTCTGGTCTCTATCTCTTTGCAAGTGCTTTCATTTCTTTCGCAATTGGGTGGCATTGTCTCTCATTGTGAATTTGCACTTTGGGAATGACCACGATCGTAACACAGTGTTTAAAACGTGCCCGCCCACGCACTGATTTTAATTCTCTCTTCATTTTTTTAAATTTTTATTATTATAATATTATTATTATTTGTTTTCCGTATTTCATTTGTATTTCAAATTTGGTAAAGAATTTGGATGTAACACTGAGGCAAATGTCGCTCAGTTATCGTTCTGCACTGGGTAGCATGACGTACGTGTATGCGGTGCGTACGCATACATATGCGCGCGTATGCATACATGTGCAAAAAAACCCATACACGTACGTACTTTATTTTATTTTTTTAAATATATATCTATATAGATTATATACTATATAGTATATAATACATAAATATATATATAATATATTGTGTTTAAATCTAGAGGAGGAGGAGGAGGAGGAGGATCTTCCTCCTCCTCCTCCTCCTCCTTCCCCTGTCTCTTATACACATCTAGATGTGTATAAGAGACAGCTTGATAAACAGACCTGAGTACGATTCCTCTTCCCCCCCCCCCCCCTTTCTTCCTGATGGAATCAGAAGAGGTAACCCACAGCCCTGATCTCCTCGTCAGATCAATCATAGGCGACTGTTCTGTTAAAAAGCCCAGGTTGTTGTAGAGGAGGGATACTAGACCGATGGCAGTCACGGACAGTAATCGATGATTCGGCTGTGAGGATAAAGAAGGGTATTGTTGGAGGAATGCCGCTCCGACGGATTTTCCCACACTTTGACGACTCTTTGCCGGAATCTATCGGCATTTTTTGTTTTTTCTGTTTTTTGTTCGTTTGTTTGTTTGTTTGTTTGTTTGGGGAAAGCCCTATTGCAAGGCCTCTATCCTGGTGGTGGTAAGAAAACCACCAGGGTTGCCGCTCACCACCAATAGACAGAGCAGCACCTGCTGGAAACCGGGTCCAGCGTCCCTTGGATACATCAATCTGGTACAATGTTGGGGCTGCAGCCATTGTTTTTTCTACTCTGGCGCATCCTCAATCCCGCGGAGCTGCTGATTGTCCTGTTCCATTTCTGGGGCTTCTAATCATCTGGCCCAGTCCTCACCCCGTGAAGTTGTCTGCGGTTCTTCCTTTCCCTGGATCTCTCTGTTGCCTAATCATCTGGCCCAGCCCCTCGAGTCCCAGATACTTCTGGTCGTCCGCAGCCCCCCTGTGTCTCTGGCAGCCTCCTCTAGGCAGGGACTGCCTGTGCGTGTTAATTTTAAACCCTTCTTAAACCCTCTAACCTTGCTTCTCTGGTACAGGCCCTGTAGGAGATCTCATGGGTATAGAGGACAGAGAGACAGTCGCTTTCATTGTGGGGAGTGAGCATGAAGACAAGTATTCTTTTTACTACGATCCTGTTCCTGTCTCCTCCCATTGTATGTCACCAGTTTGGATACCGTTTTGTATGTGTATCGCGCCCCCGGTTCTGACCCTGTCTCAGGGGGGGCGTGTTCCCTGTCCTCACATGAAGCTGTTTTTGGACGGGCGTGGGCGGCATCCTGAGGTGCTGGTGGTGGTGTTCGTGGTGTGCATTGTCCCCTGCATTTTCACTGCCATTGACATTCCACAAAACAGTGGGCGTACTATGATTCTTTTATCTGCAAGTCACACATTGTGCATAACGGTGGGGATTCATCGGGTCCAGCCATTCGTTTACTGTACAGAGAAGTCCCTGTCGAGCAGAACGTTTGGCTTGCGGATGAAGGACGCATAGTATGCCCACAGTTTTACGGAATGCCAACTCGGAAATTTTACGCCACACCTGCACGCACACAGCTTTTTCTTTTTCCCTGAAAGGGCGACGACCTTGCGTGGAAAGATACAGCCACCATATTTTTTTTGTCACAATTGATTGTTGAACTGACCAGGGAGTCGGTCCACCTGCCCGCTACCGTTGTAGGAGGCTAGCATGGAGTGACTCGCAGCTCCAAGGGGGACCATCGATTGACACGAATTTGTGCCAATCGATGGTCACTAGGCACCGCAAGTCGCTCCGTGGTAGCCTCCAAACAACGCTAACGTGCAGGTAAGCTGAGTGCCGGCCCAAGGTAGTCCATAATTTTTACTCCTATTTCATTCCGTTGTTCTTGTTGCATCTGGATTCCACTTAAGAGCTGTATTTCAACAGTTCATGGGTGTACCGACTGCGCTAGCTGTTGTTGCTACACACCTGTGTTTGGGCCATCGCGGAGTCTGCGCCAAATTTGAACTCACGATGAAAAAACAGCGATAAGTGAATTCGTGATGAAAATTCTTCTGAAACACACTGAATAAATCCCGTGTGCTTGCTGTTTCTGCAGCGATCCGAACCTTCACGCTTTCAAAAAGAAGCAAAAAACAACAACCCAAAAAAAACAAAAACGCTTCTGACACATTCCGAACAAATCCCGCCTTCTCTATACATACTAAAGCAAACAAAGGGTCTCGCGACATGGTCGGTCGCGTGCCCAAGGGAAACCGTTTGGGACACTAAGCGTAGGCGGGGGGCCGCGGGGTTGAGGCCAACGGAGGCGAACCGGCGCAGGGGCGAACGCGGGGGGGCAAAGGGGCGGGAACAGGCCAGCGGGAATTCGAAGGCGCGCAGGCCCAGGCGAAGCGGCGGAGGGGCGACGACGAATTTTTTTTGCACGCTGGCGGGAACCGGGTAAGCAGGCCAGCGGGGCAAAGCGGGGTGTGCACACAGAGGCGAAGGGGCAGGAACCGGGTAAGCAGGCCGAAGCGCGCTGGCAGCGCGAATTCGAAAGCACGCAGGTCCGGGCGAAGGGCGGCCGCGAGGTCGGAGAGTTATCGTCCCTGTCTCTCTCTCTCTCTGTCTCTCTCTCTCTCTCTCTCTCTCTCTCTCTCTCTCTCTCTCTCTCTCTCTCTCTCTCTCTCTCTCTCTCTCTC